AACCAATGACTCTGGCCTAGCAAACACCTACAGACATTTTTTGATTAGTAATACCCCTTGGGGCACCTCTTGGCTTTCTCTTGTCAACAGTAAACACTCAGTTTTACTCAGAATAAAATGGAACCAGAGCTAAGTGCAATTTACGGCAGCAATAAATGGGCGGTGCTTACCGTTGAATCAAATCGTCAGAAGCTGGCAGGGACAGTAAGAGTTCATCAAGTCCCTGCCCTTCCAGACCAGACAGAAGGACCCCCCAAATACTCCCACTGATAGCTGGCCTCTTATTCAGTCCTTCAGGCCATCTAACCCTTGTCTCTCACTGTTACTTATTTTCTATGTAACTGAATCCTTCCAGTTATCATTCACATGCTTTTCTCTAGCTCTGCCCTCAGGAGAAATGAAGAAGAACAGATGCCCACAGAGCTTTTAATAAAAAGATCCTCATTAAATCACTGCTTATCTGTGTCCTGTCATTAGGGGAGGTGGGGACATGGGCTGCTGCTTCTCAGCTCTTTCGGCTCTGCTTGGCCTGTATTTCTGGTAACAGCACCCCCGATGGTATGTGTGTGTGGACCGGGACTCCAAGTTACATTTCAGAAGGGCACATGTGGACTAGCCTGGTTTATTTCTTACAAATTCTACCAGTGAGTGCTGGGTCCTGTGAGGTGATCTGGCTTAAGCAGATGACATTTAAAAACTGGAATCAAATTTTCCTAATGCCACTTAAAAATCAGAAATGCAAAAACATTGTCAGCTGGCCTTATTGCTTTATTCTAAAATGACTGAGCTTTGTTGAAACTTGGTTCTATAGTCATCCAGGATTAAAATTGGGCAGTATTTTTTCTTCTGAATTTGTAATTATTTGCACGATAAGGCTCTTTGAGTCCTAGAGCTAAATTCAGCATTTCCAAAAATTGTACATGGGCCTCAACAGTCTTCCAAAGCAACTCCAAAATTAAGTTCATGGAGAACCTAGCATCTTTATCTATTGTTTCTGTATATCTCGTTGGGAGGTTGGCAAAAAGAGGCCCCATGGTAAGGATGGGGACCTGGTATAAAGAAGTTACCAAAGGTGACCCACCAAGGTTACAGCAAATCTCTAACTAGAACTTGGTCTCCTAGCCTTCAGACCTGAGTTGTTTACACTAAACATCATCCTAAAAACAAAACACTTTTCAAACTGATTGCATTTCTATACACACACACACACACACACACACACACACACACACACACACGTAGACTTAAGGACACTATTTTGTTTTCCTGTGTTCTCCACCCCAAACATTTAACTAAAATCCCATCACCACGATGGTTATTTAAATAACAAACAAAATTCTTGTCACAACACCTGGGGAAATTATCTTCCAAATTTCACAATCCCTGGCTTCAAGAATAAGTACCATGCCCAGAGGAAGCCCTGGAGATAAAGGTCAAAGCCATCTTACTTACAGGTGGACAGAATCATGGCTGCACTTGTGCGGGGAGCATACAACACAGCCTTCAGGTCTTCAGCGGTGCCCCCATCACAAAAACACATCTTTTAACTGAAATCATAGCTCGCCCAAGATGTTTCTCACGGGCAGAGTTAACCCCACCTATTTTCCTGTTCTGAAAACCTCAGAGAAGTGTGTGAATGACAGCCGGGTGGCCTACATGAGAGAAAGCGCAATCACCTACATCTAGATCTCTGCGGGGAGCGCCTGTCACAGCCTCACCCTCGACCGTGTGGGTGATGCCAGCAAACAGCATTTTCAAGAACTCACAAGGTTTTGGTAAAGGGAACCCTTAAAAGGAGCATGAATTCAAACTGCTCCCTTCGGACAGAGAAGGAAACGGAGGTGCAGATAGAACAGGGCACACAGTGTGTTGTAGAAAGAGAATCCGACTCTACGTTCGGAAGTACCAAGTCCAGAACGTTCTGTCCTCCCACTGAGTACTGACACCTGAGGCAGCAGATGAGGAAAGTTTATTTTGGGTGGGGAGGGGACGAGGGAGGGAAAACCAGTCCAGCCTCAGGTGACTGGGGCGTGACCGAGAAATACAAAAACAACATCAATAATGTAAACACGCACACAGGAGTTTCACTCCATCCCACTGAAAAATAAAGCCCCAAATTCACAAAAACTGAAAGGGGCAAGTGTCTGAAGACACAGCAGATTCACACTGCCCTTCCTATTTCCTGCGTTAGAGATTAAGATCTCTTTAAGCATTCAGGGTGGATTCTTCTATTTTTATTTCTCCTTTTGCCGTAGCTAGGGTTTTATACAAAAACTTTTTTTTTTCAGTTCTAGTGAAATATTTCAAGGTATTTGAAGAAAATGTTCCCAAATGTTGACAAGTTTCTTATCTAATCTTGTTTTCCTATCAGAAATCTAAGTTGACTGTTGGGGCAAGGGCTGTACTTTCTCCTCTCTTTCCAAAGCCACTCAGCACTGAGACACAGCTCCTCAAGGTCAAGGGAAGTGTGGGCTGGGGCTGGGAGGGGTAGCAGGAGTCAAGGTGAGGGAGGAAGAAAGGAGGAAAGTGTGACAGTGACAGCAGGGTAGAGCTCACGTAGGACCGACTCCCTCAAGGAACTACAAAGCTCGTGAGCGATCCAGTGAAAAGGTGTGTACATTTTCGTGATGAGGATACAGTTAAACAGGAAGATGCCGAGGAAGCTGGCAAACAGACAAAAATATTTTATTATTTTCCATTATATTATTTTCCATTGTAAGGGGGACAGGGAGGAATTGAAGACAGCCATCAGGGGATGACCTGACCAGAATGAAAAGATGATTCTCCAGGGTCATATGAAAGAGCTGCTCAGAAAAGCCAGCCTCAACTTGTGTTCCTTAAAGGGTCTTGATTTTCCATAAGTACAGCATGCATTATCATTTTTTTTAACCATTTAAGCGTTAATTGAATTAAATGGTTCCAGTCACACTGCTATAGTATTCAAGCCATTGCAATCACCGAAAGTGGGTAGATGGGTCATTCACCTTGACTCTGGCTGCCCTCTCCTCTAAATCCTCCATACAAAGGAAAACAAGCAGTCACACATAGGGGACACACGGCCCTGGTCCACACAGCCTGGCATGGAACAGAGGAAGCCCCTTCCTGGTTAACGAGGCTTGAAGATGGTAGAGGAGGTGGGCCTTGAATATGCAGCAAAAAAAAAATCAACTGTAGAGGCCTCAGCTCATTCTTGGAAGCAAGAGCCATAATAAACCCTTTGGGATCCTGAGTCCTGCTGTACAGAGGTGTCTTTGGGTCCTACCTAAGTGGATGGCTTTCAGTGCTTCAAACACAAAACACAGAGCTGCCTTTTGACGTTCCAAGGTCTACAGGGAGTCCTGGGGGAAGCAGGCAGCTGGGGGCTAGTACCTGCGCTGTTCCGAGGCCGTGGGCCATCTTCCAGCCTGGTACTTGCCTGGGGAGCCTGGCGGGTAAACTCCTGAATCCAGCGCTGCCCTCCTGCGAGCTGTTTCCTTGGCAACATCGTGTGGTTCAGCAGCCTCAGTGGTTTCCAGGGAACATTCTGTAGGGTCTTGTTGACCAAGACAACTCACTGTGGGGCATTAAGCAGCTTCTTCACATAAGAACTACTGACATGAACATGACTTCAGGTATGTTCCCCCGACACGCCACAGCCTGTGGGAGACCCCAGTCCCCAGAGCAGACAAACTCCTCAAGAAAGGCCCCTGTCTTCCTGGGTTTTCTGTGCCCACAAAACCAGCAACACTGCGTTGGGAGACACATGGGCTCTGCTTTGATGATGGAGACTCATGAGTCAACGAAGGCTCTAACCCAGAGGGTGTCCTGATTGGGAACTCTAAGGGTCAGGAACCCACTCAAATGAACTCAATCACAGGGTCTACTGTGAGGCTATAACACATCAGCTCTCTGATCCAGGAACCCAAGTCCGACCAGGCCTCTGAGAACCATCCGGCAGACAGCTCAAAACACCATGCTCTCCGTTTTTCCTGGTTGCTTCCTTGACGTGGCCAGAATTTGGCTTGCTCGTGGGTCTTGCCAGTGGTGGGAGCAGCCTTTGTGGTGAATATCATCTGATCCCTCTGCTCCCAGAGCCCAGCACACCTCCACTGACAGCATTTCTGGTCCAGGGACAGATTCTTAAGACACAGAAACTGATTAACTGCCCCTAGTTCAATTCTCCATCCAACTCCAGTTAGCTGTGAATTTCATGGGCAGGATCACTTAGCCCCAACACAAGCCCTGTTGGGGGCTTAAGCTGGACAGGTACCCCCAAACATGTCTGTGGGAGCCCATGACTGGGTTAACAAATTGTAACAGATCCCAGCCGCTTATCTCCTTAAAGAAGATGTGCTTAGTAACTGCCTTGAGGTTTTAGCAATGACCCAGGCCCCGGGCTATAAATGCTGGGCGTGCCTGCTGTTAGTCTTCTATCCCCGAAACAGCCTTGGGCTGGAATGGTAAACAACTTATAAAAAGCTGCAGACTCAGACGTGAGTAGGCTGGTTAGCCAGTGACGGGTAAGATCCAATGACCAGCAACCTAAGACAGGCACAGCCTGAGTCCAAGAAAAATCTTGTTAAGCAGCTGATTCTTATATGTTCTGCCCTGATAAGCTGAAAGGCTCAACACGAACATGATTCACCAAAAAGGGTCTTCTGACCTTGAGCCAAACACCAACAATAAACAAAGCCTTTGTACTCATTGTGATCCCACCCTCGGGGAGTTGGCTCCTGACTCCCTCTCGGTCTCTTGACTTTTCCACAGAGTCCTGAGTAATTCATTCCGTCTCGGTGGGACTTCTGCTGGGCAGAACCCACAACTGGTGTCGAACCCACACATGTCTACCAAAGTGAGGAAGGGGCCTAGTGGTAGAAGGGTCCAGGCGTTTTTCTCTCCAGTAGGGAATATCTGATCCTCAGGGAAAGAGGATTTGACAGCTGTAAGGGTCAGTCCCTAGTCCTAAGAAGGTTGGCTCATTCACTACAGAATTAAATGTTTCCATTAAAAGACAACTCATGTTTCTTATAAATATATAACTTTATATATTATATATATTTACAATATATACAGCATACAAATATGTGGTGATGTAATACTAACGCAGTCTTGAAAACAAATGTTTTCGAAACAAAAAGTGGGTACTTATCCCAGGTATGTTTCTGATCCATCCAGAACCCACATTCGAGACAATACCCCAGCCCAGATTTCTGCAGAAGTCAAAGGGAAGAGGGGGGTGGCTGGAACATGGTTCTGACACCCCTCCCTCCCAATTACCACTGACTCCAGCTAACATGGCCCCACGTGCACCCCTAAAATGGGCAGACCCTGGGGCCTGGGCACAGCACCTGGCACACAGTGGGCACCCCTGTACTTGCAGAAGGAATAAAAGTGTGTGTTTTTAACCACCGCAGCATTTAACCGCTGCAGCATTTCCATAATCCAGAAGATTCAGTCACAGAGCTAAGGCTGGTCTAGGAGTAAATGGTTTAGGTGTTTCCACTCAATCAGTAAAACCATCTACACAGCCAGTGCTAAATAAATTAAAACTCTGCCACAAAGTGCCGTTTCTTCCTTGTGATTTGGAGTCTGGAGGCCGCTGGTCACAGTACCACTTATCTTCCAAACGTTTCTCCACATTCAACTAGTTCATCAATCGTGCACAGCAAATCTTCAAAGGAAGGCCTTCCCTCGGGTTTCTACAATTCAAAATCAAAGAGAATCTGTGGGTTCCAAAATCCATCCTCCAGAATAATTCCTCACTGCTCAAACTCAGACAGCGTAGTGTACTAGCGCAGGGGACTCACTAGTTCGGGACTGGAACCTGCAGGCACTTCCAACAGGTCTCCTCCATCCTGCATGTGCTGCTGCCCGACTAACCTTCCTGCCACGTGGCTTTTGCATCCCATTCAAGAACCTAACAGAGAACCCTACTGCCTGCAAACTCAAGTCTTGCTAATTTTCAGTGCCCGCTGTAACCTGCCCCACCCCTATTCCCTTGCTACCTACCCAGTTTTATTTCCCACAAAAACCCCAACATGTGCCCCAGGCTCAATCAGAACAACTGCTGCCCAGTGTATACACCCAGTTCATTGCTGTCACCTTCCTTTGCTCGCTGCCCTCTCTCCCACTAGCGCCACTTCCTGGCCAGAAGGCCTCTGCTCATCCCAGTCAATGCCCTCAGGAGGCATTACAGCAAGTGACCGAGGGTCTGGGCTTTGAGCCGGACAGGGCTCTTCTTCTCTGGAGCTAAGTGGCCTTGAGCAAGCATCAACCTGGTGTTCTCGCCCCGGCCACAGTAGAAGTATCCACACCTCAGAGGGTTATTCTGAGAACTCAATCAAATGCACTTAGCACAGTGCCCAGCACACAACACCTGTGAGCTAGCATCGCTGTTATCTTTCAAAAGTCATTTTGGTGTCTAACCTCTTCTATGAAGTGATGTTGCAACACGTGGAGAAGGGAAAATTCCAAAGACTGTGAGTCAAGAGACCTGAGAAAGCTGAGGTTTGGAGAAAGAAACCCTCTCTGGCGAAAATGTGATAATTCCATGATAAGAAGCCTACTGAAAAAGAGCTACTTCTCTGGGTTTATTCCCCAAGTCCCCGCCTCAGGCACCTGTGGCAGGATTCCCACTTGGGAGTGTGGTGGCAGCCTGAATTTAGTATCTTAATTATTTTCCACTTCTTCACATCTTCTTCCTGTTATTCAGTCTAAGTTGAGAAAAATCCTTCCAAAGGGTTTGAAATCATAAAAAACATGCAGCAATTCACTAGGCTAGAAGGACTACACACTTTTAATCTACCAAGTCCAGATCCCTGGATGTTTTAAAGATGTAAGAAGCACACAAAAAAATGTTATACCTCCTGCCAACATCTCAGCATGACCTCGTACACGTATCTGGACGCCAACTTCGGCTGGTGGAGTCGGTGGCCGCGAGAAACCATGGTGACCACTTCATAGTTGGTGTTTTTCTCAAAGGGCATTTTGCCTTCAGTGAATACTTCCCACATTAAAACACCTGGAAGAGGATGAGGATTACCAAACGATGCATCCACTTCCTCTTCAGAGCAGAACAAGGAAAAGTGGAGCAGGGGTCTCACCAAATGACCAGACGTCTGATTTGCTGCTGAAGCGGCTGTAATTAAACACCTCGGGTGGACACCACTTCACAGGAAATTTAGCACCGGAAGAACTCGTGTACTGGTCGTCCAGAACATACCTAGAGTAACATACTGAGTTACGACCTGTATTTTGCACGTGTTTTTTAATTTTCTCCCCCCCTAGAATCAGAAACACAGTTGACTGAAGGCCAACAAGCATCCGGTGGAAGCTCAGCGCTGGTCTCCGCGGCCCCGCCTGGTGATCGCCATCTTCTTCCCGTGCTTCAGCTGGACGTGCAGCCCCGGCAGCAGCTGCACTTTCACTTTTCTGGTTTTCCTTTGTGTAAAGTGATGGAGGCAGAATGCAGTAAGAGAGTTGGCAAACTCTTTTTTGGCAAGCAATTTTATTCTTTAGACAAAATTTTACCCAAAAGCCCCACATGAAAAACATCTAAAAAGCAGAGCTGCTCGAAAGGAAGTGGTGCAAAGCGTTTGGAACACACGTGCTTTCACCCACACACCCCCCCCCCACGATTCCACAGAACACAACTTAAAATTACAGCAAATAAAAAGAGCAAACTGCAAAATGATGTGTGTAAATGGTGGAGTATATTTACACACCTTGACATCCCTCCTCCCTGCACATACACTCAGAACAATACTACATATTTTCCTATGGGAGCTTACTTATAACCTCCTGGAAGGACACACACCAGCTGGTAACACTGGCTACCCCTGCGGAGGATCCTTGATCGGGGTGGTAAACATGGGTCCTGAAGCCCTTCCTGTAATGTATTCAGTATGTATTTACAAGAGGAAAGTGTTTATGTATTATATGAACGTAAAGTTAATTTCTAAAAGCTCCATGAGAAAACATTTAAAGAACTGCACAAACTTCCTTTGCTGCATAGACAAACACGGTGACAACGCAACCATGGGCGGCTGTCCATCAGGGGAGTCTGGAGTGAGCATCTAATGAGTGTTTTAGAGGGGTTGATGCAAAAGCACAGGTTTTTTGAAAGCCAAACACGTGAAAACCAAACATGATGTTGGAGGCCTGCCAGTCACATACACAACATCTACGCAGAAAGCCAACAGAGAGCCCTGGGTCGTTACTGCCCTGACAGCCAGCAGACCTGATCCCGTTTCCGACAGCACTGGCTTCCTAAGCTCCCTGGGCCCGAGCTCCCAGGAGCTGGGTGGCCTGGCCCCTGCCGGCCTTTGTAACTGCTCCTCACGCTGGTCGTGGGCCAGCCTCCCCCAGCCCTCCCATCCCACCCTCTGGCCTCTTTTGGTTCTTAAGCAGCTAAGCTTGTCCCAAATTTCAAGCCTTTGGTCTCACTGTTCCTGCCACCTAGAATGTTTTATCCTCAGATTTTCACCTGACTACTCCCTGCCTTTTGAGTCTCTCTTCAAACATCCCAGTCTCAAAGAGGACTTCAGAGGACCATCGCTCAGCACCCTGCCCTGCACCATCGCTCAGCACCCACCAACCCCAAGTTATCACTATCACAGGGGGCGGTAAACTTTTTCTGCAAAAGGCCAGATAATGACTCTTTTTGATTCTGCAGTAGTGTGAACACAGCCAGACAACATATCTGCAAATGAGCTACATCCTAGTATCACTTCATTTATGGACACTGACATTTGAATTTTAGGTAATTTTCACATTATAATATTTTAAAGTCTTTTTCCAACCATTAAATAATGTGAACACCATGGCTGGCTCACAGGTCATGCAAACAGAGGTGGTGGGTTAGATGTGGCCTCTGGTTTGCTGACCTCTGCTCTGTCCCCTCACTCTGTGTTTCCCAACTTCAGCAGGTCTCAGGTGTAAGTTTCTCTCTCCTCCTGAACATACGCTGCACGTGGGCAAGGACTCGTATGTCTCACCCTCGGCTGGGCTTCAGTCTCTAACGTGGGACCTGGCACACAGCAGGCCCTGAGGTTTTTACAGATGGACATACAGATGAACAAATGGACAGAAGGAAGGAGGGAAGGAAAGGACAAACAAAATACTTTTTAAAGGTCTGTTCTAACACCCTGTTAAAATTACAAAAATTAAGAAAGTTAAAAAACTACCGATTTGGGTATTCTAAAAACTCTACCCCAAGCACATTTCTGTAAAACAAAAGATTCTAGAAATTTAATCCATACCAGGGAGAAAACAAAGCAGTGTATTTAACAGGCTATACCACCACCTAGTGGAGAGAGTGATTAACAATGATTAACATAATGTATACTTTGTTAATTTAGTATATTTATCTATCTCAAAACAGCTAACACGATCTCCTTACCGCTTCATCAGTGCAGATTACTTCCATGCTCATCAGTCCTCTAAACTAATGTGAATATCACCTAAAGCCACATAATGAAGCATTAAGTAATCACAATTTCTCAAGCTTACCAAAGAAAAAGCCAAAGCTAATAGTAAAAAGACAAATTCAGCATAGAAATCTTTCAAAATATGATCTAATTTATTTTCTAACCTTAAATCAAAAACGCTAAGAAGCAGAAATATCAATTAGTTCACCCATGCGAAAATGACAGGTCCTACTACTGTTTTGCCAACGGGACAAAAGATGTTTAAAAACAGCTCTTAAATAAGCTTCAGAGGAAGAAGTTGACACAGTCAAACTGCAAAGAAAAAAATCAGGCTTTCTGTACTTTTAAGGGAAAGGTCACAGCCTTATATTCATTTAACCCAAAATTTGTAGAAAATGTTTATATATAGTCAGCCTTACCTGGCCATTCCAAAATCAGATACTTTCACAATTCCCGCCTCATTTACTAGACAATTTCTGGCAGCCTGGAAAACAACATTACAACGATATATTTGTTACAAAGCTGCAAAAAGAAAATAGAAAAAATGTAAGTTCAGTTTATATTAAATTTAGTTCAACCCAGTCAACATCTGCAGAGGTGTCTCTTTATAAATTATTTTTACCCCTATGAAAATGTCTTCAACGTGTATTTGAAAAAATGGGTAGAAAGACAGGTCAAAAGTCATATGTGCAAAAAGGCATTATTACGTAATCTTTGCCAACTGTTATACGTACATGAGGACTAATTGAAGGGTCAACCAGCTTCTTGCCCCCCCCATTTCTATTCTAATAAATTATTTGATTTTCTTATTGATAGTGACAACTTCTCAAAGTCCTTCATCCAGGTTCTTACCGAGCAAGCTTAGTAACACACAACCATCAAAGTGAAGAGTGAACAATCTTTTACCCAGTGACCTTGCTCGGTGACTGGTCTTCCCAATCTCAGACAGTCAAAAGAACAGCCATGTGTAACATAGTTTCCTTTGTCATTTGTAATGTTTCCAGTATATTATAACATGATATGCTAAATTGGTCAAATACAATTCTGGATTATTTCTATTTTCTTGCCCATTCTTTAAGGTTATATATATAAGGGTCAAAAAAATAGTTTGGAACAACACATAGAAGGAAGACATGATAATACTTTTAATGACATAACCTATGGACTAAGAATGTATTTTTCTTCCTGATGCTTCAGAATTTTATTCTCTGTATGTGGCAAATTCCATTTATATGAGGTTACTTATGGCTGAGTGCATTTTAAGAGTCTTTTCTAAAGTGAGAATTAACACCCATTCCCTGGATTACTTCCATCTTCCTATAAAGACACCCCATAATGCCTTTACTTGATGGTCACCAGGATTCTTCACCCAGGAGATAGAAGCATCAGAATCTTCCCTTAAGGGATGATGAAAACCTACCATAATGATATCAGTATCACAGACACAAACATATCAAAACTGCTTTCACCAAGATGTGGTATGTGCAGACAGGTGCAATCTGTCATAACTATGTAGACAATTTCCATCAGTTTTAAAACTTTTAAAAGTGCAAAAGGAAGAAAGTGCTTAGTTCACAAGTTTCAACATGGCAAAGAGAGTTACTGTTATAACAATGATTAATGTTATATATATATATATATTATATATATATATATATATATATATATATATATATATATATATATATA